TTCTTTTCTAATAAATGCCTTTAAGACTACAATTTCTGTCTAAGCACCACACTAGCAGCGTTCCAGGAGTGTGATATGTACATGGTATTTTTGTTATTCTTCAGTTCAAAATATTTTCTAGTTTCTGTTCTGACACTTTCTTTTTTTAAAAAATTTTTTTCTTTATTGATTTTTTTTAGAGAGAAAGGAAGGGAGAGGGAGGGAGAGAGAGAGAGAGAGAGAGAGAGAGAGAGAGAGAGAGAGAGAAACATCGATGAGAGAGAACATTGATTGGCCACCTCCTGCATGCCTCCCACTGGGAATCGGGCCCACAACCTGGGCATGTGCCCTGACTGGGAATTGAACCGACGACCTCTTGGGTTGACGCTCAACCACTGAGCCACACCGGCCGGGTTGTTCTGACACTTTCTTGATGAACAGATTATTTCCAGCTACATTTCTTAATTTCCAAACATATTAGAGTTATCTTGTCATTGAGTTCTAGTTTCACTGCATTTTTATCAGAAAACACACTGTGTGATTTCAACTCTGAAATGGCTGACACTTGCTTTATGAAACATTTCACAGGTGGCTGCCTTCTAGTTGCCTCCCTCACGTGGCAGGGAAGACAGAGAAAGCAAACTCTGGTGTCTCTTCTTATAAGGACACTACTCCCGTCATGAGGGACCCGCCCTCACGATCTCATCTGATCCTGGTTATCTCCCACATCCTCAATTCCAAATGCCAATGTCTTGGAGGTTAGGGCTTCAACATAAAAATTTGGGGATGACACAATTCAGTCCACAACATTCCACACCTGCCCCCAAAATGCATGTCCTTCTCACATGCAAAATATGGTCATTTCATCACAATAGTTCCAAAAGTCTTAACTCATTTGAACATCAACTCTAAAGTCTAAAGTCCAATGTCTAATTAAAATATCATTTAAATCACACATGGATGAGTTTCAAGGTTTGATCCATTCCTTTCCAGCTGTGAACCAAACAAGCTATGTGCTTCCAAAATACAATGGTAGAACAGGCACAGAATAGATATTCCCATTCCAAAAGGAGAAGTCAGAAGGAAGAAAGGATTAATGTGGCGTAAGAAAGTCCAAAGCTTAGCCAAATTCTGTTGGATCTTAGAGCTTGAGGTTAATCCTTTAGTTCAATGTCCTACCTTCCGGGCTACTGGGATGGCCCCACTACTCCCATGGCTCAGTAGGGTGGCCCCACCCCCATAGTTCTCAGTGTATCACTGCAGCTCTGCCAGATTAGGGTCCTACAGGGTCCCCGCACTTAAGGTACTGGGCAGAGGCCATCTGACCTGTTGAGACTGAGGCAGTGGCCCTAAAACAGTTTAATCCCCTTCCAGGTTATTTTTCCCTCTTGAAGAATTGTGCACATTTGGAGCAGAATAGCTGTATTGTCTCATCCTGTCAAATCCAAGAAGTCTGACAGCCTTCCTTCATTTCATCCTGTCTCCAGCCCTTTCGGGTCAAACTGGCGGTGCTCCTACTCATATAATCCCATAAGCTCTTTATCGAATAGCTGTTCAGCAACATCCTTAGTGTTCTTTTCAGAATACACTTTCTCTTTTTTGAAATATGGCTAGGCTAAGAATCTTCCAAATCTTCAAGTTCTTGTTCCTTTTTGCTTAGGAATTCCTTCTTCAATTCATTTCTCTGCTTTCACATTTTACTATGAGCTGTCAGAAGAAACCAGCTCCTTAGCATTTTGCTTAGAAAGCTCAGCTAAACATTCAGCTTCATTGCTTGCAAGTTCTGCCACCCATAAAACAGAACTAAGTTCAGCCAAGTTCTCTGCTGCTTTATTACATGGGTTGCCTCGCCTCTAGTTTCCAATAACACATTCCTCATTTCTGTCTGGGAGTCCACCAGAGTCTCCCTGAGCATCCATATTTCCAGCATGTGCCTCAAAACCCTTCCTGTCTCTACCCTTTATCTAGTTCCAAAGCTGCGTCCACATGAAGTATTTGTTATGGCAGCAATCCACTCCTGGGACCAAAATCTGTCTTAGAGTGTGTTGCCATGACAAAATAACAGAAATCGGGTGGCTTAAACAGAAACGTATTTTCTCACAATTCTGGACACAAGACATCCAAAGCAATAAACACAGTTATTTTAAAATCTATGTCTAATAATTCCAATATTTTAGATCCTTTTAGGTCTATTTCCACTATCTACCTAATTTCTGCCACTGCTAGTTTAAGTTTTTATAGGCCTCCTCATAGCCCTAGATATCCTTGATTGTGTTCTGGAAATTGTACGTGAAAAATTGTTTGTGAAAATAAACCGAGGTCTAGAAAGATGTCAACTTTCTCCAATGAGAATTTAAGTTTTGTTTCTGACAAGTTCCTTCTGACAACAGGAATCAAGGATCTCTTCAATTTAATTTCTGGGATTAATAATTGTTATTTTTTATTTTTGGATCATTCAGATTATTGGAAGCTAAACTGTAGTCTATGTGAGTCTATGTGAGTTTACTTCCAAGTGACCCTTACTACCAGGGCGTAGCCATCTGGAGTCCCACCCCAAATGGAGGAGGTTCACCAGGGCCTCAATGTTGACTCCAGATTTTGTCCCCCTAGTTTTACAAGGCTGGTAAAAGCACTGTCCAGCCTTTCAGCCACATTTTTAGAATGTGCATATTCCCACGGGCTGTGGGCTCGATCCCCAATAGGCGGCACGCGGGAAGCAGCCAATCGATGTCTCTCTCTCACATCAATGTTTCTATTTCTCTCTCCCTTCCTCTCAAAAAAATCAATAAAAACATATTTTAAAATCTCACATCTGTCCTTCCTATCTTCCCACAGAGAGAAGGAAGAAGGAGAAATACATACCATGGGGACCATTAAGCATCGTGTTCCAATGATCTGATAAAGTGTTAAGAAGATACTTTATTAATTTATTGGTTGCTCTTTCTTACTGAGGGTGTGTAGTTAGCTTGATAACTAGATTTTTTTAAACTGTATTTTATAACTTTAATACCCTTTACATAGGTTTTAATAAAATGTATTTTACTTTCAGTAAGTATAAAGGGCAAAATCATGTTAACACTCCTCTGGCTTGATTTCACAGATCACCATAGATGTCACAGAACAGGTGTGTTATACTCAGAAGTAAATGCAGATGTATTCAGCTCAAACTATGTAAATTATTAATCTCATTAAATTTGCATGCAAGAAAAATGACTACCTCAACAACAAGGATGACTTTAATCACAATAATAAGATAGTCAAAATGCTTTGAATTCATGTTATATAGATATTATTCCTCACATGTAATAATATATTACTACATGTAAATACATGGATTAAACTTCAATGATTTCAGAGGTTCTTTCATTGTTAATTAAAAACAGAAGCTTTTCTGCTGTAATGTATAGCCTCAGCTTGATATTTAAGAGTCCTTCATCAGTTTTCTCTCTGCTCTCTTTCTTAAGTGCTCCCTCATCTCAACCCTCCTTCCACGATTCTCTTTAATTAAGACTTAAGGGCCCAACGGAATCCCCTAAGAGGGTCTCTTGCCCACATGTGCATGGGCAAGCCTCAAATGAAAAGAAATTAATTGTATAAGAGTATACAGCTGGTGGCAGAGATGGCCAACCCTCGAACCTTCTGACTGCCAGGGTCACACTCCCCCTAAGCCTTGGCACAGTCCCTAACCTGACGGCAGACCCTCAGGCCCCAATATTGAATGATGTGCCTCCACCATGGGAGGGGGAGGGAAGAGGTATAGGCAAAGGGTTCACTCTTTCCCCTTCTCATGAGAATTTTACCTTCAATTGACTCTCTAGCTCTGTTCTCCTAGTAATCTGATAGTGATATGTGTCAGCTATGTTACTAAGACTACTTAAGGCAAAAATGACCCCTGAGTGGTAACCAGAATCTGTCTGGAAGGATTTATAAGTGAACTACTGATAGCAAATAGAAAAGCATAGCTTTGAGCTTTCCTGAGTGTGCTGACTTTCATAACTGGGCAAATCCATTGGGGGGTACCCTGGAACTCTGCCTATGGAATTATTACAAGGAATACTGGCCCTGGGGCACATAAAGCAGGACAACTCCCACACCCACCCAATGTGGATCTCTTTTCCTTGTACCTGAGCTCTGTAGCCTGGGGGGCTAAAGAAAATAGCTACGTGTTTCTGTGTGGAGATAGCAAGGGCTCCCACAGGAAGAGAACTGCCTGATGCTACTCCGCTGGGAGCTGTGGTTCCTGTTCTGTATCTTTCTGAGTAGACTGATACCAAATCCTTTCTAATGTGGTCTATGCTGGTCTTGTGAGTGTGACTTTCTAGTGGAGACTAAGAACAATACCTGTTGGACATTACAGCTACAACCAGCCAGGCTGTGCCACATGCTATGCTTACAACTAGCACAATGCAACAAGGATACCTCCATAAGAACAAGCATTTTTTTTAAATAACACTGACACGTTGTGTAGCTTTATTTGCGATGAAGCACAGGCATGCACTAAAAGAAATCGTAAAAATATCTAGAATCTCACCCTGGCCGGTTTGGCTCAGCGGTGAGAGCGTCGGCCTGCGGTCCCGAGAGACCCGGGTTCAGTTCCCGCTAAGGGCATGTACCTCGGTTGCAGTTTGTCCCCGGCTCTGGTCGGTCGTGCGGGTGGCAGCCACTCGATGTGTCCCTTCACGTCGATGTTTCTCTCTCTCTCTGTTCCTCTCTACCCCTCCTACTCTACCCGAACAAAGAATGGAAAAATGTCCTCGGGTAAGGATAAAAAAAAAAAAAAAAAATATCTAGAATCTCATTTTCGGGCCACAAGAGACCAATTTCTATAATATCACCTATATTCTCTAATAATTTCGATAGTAGATTCCATATCCTGGATGACACGTGCCAGTTTAAATGGGAGTGCTTCATTTTCTTAAACAATGGACAGTCTGTTTACATTATGATTGTTAGAGGATAGCTCCAAGCTGCTGCTTTTCCTCCTCTCCCTACTTCCTGCCAAATGGAAAGTCAGACTCACCTTAGCTGTCTTTCTCACTTGGAGTTTCTTCCACACGCAGCTTGTCAGCGTCTGGGGCCTGACCTTGCTGTTGCTCAGCAAAGTTCCTTCTGACCATGACTTCTGTGTGATGGTGGATAACCTGATGGGCTGCGAGCAGATGCTTTCGCTGTGCATTCCTCACTGTGCCAAGTGACAGGAGAATTTTCACGGTGAAAGACTGAACTAAATCATGCCCAAAGGTTTCAAGACAGTACTGATAGAAATGAACCTTCTGCATCATAATGAAAGATCGTAAATAACTTAAAAGGAAAGGTGCCTCATACTCTCTTTGAGCCTTAGTTCCTAATATGGAGGGTACTTGGTTCCTAGTGTGGGGACTTTGGAGCCACACAGACCGTGGTTCAAATTTGCAAGTAGCTATTTGTGGAATATAATGAACAAAATAAGCTGAAGAACAAAATAGACCCAGAGACATGGAAGTGGGGTGCAGACTGACAAACCTCAGAAGAGGTGGATGTGGGGGAAGGAAGAGATAAACCACAGAACTTACACGTATGTATGTGTCAACAAGGACATAGACAATAATGCTGGGGAGGGGGGGCGGGACTGGGAGGAGGGTGTCAATGGAGGAAGGAGAGAAACGTCTGTAACAAAAATAAAAAAATTAATTAATTGAAAAAAAAAATCTGCAAGTTGTGTAATATTTCTAAGCACTAATTTTCTTAACTGAAAAATGAGAACACACCTACAGCTGTTGTAAGAAATTGAGATAAGATACTTTTAAAAATGCTTAGTACATTGCCTAGAGCTTAGAATGCATTTAAAATTTGGTAGTTACTGTTATTTTACATCTATATACAGGTCTCTTCAAGGTCTTTCCCATCCCTCAGCTTAAAAAAAAAAGATATCTCAAAAAGGTCTGTGTATAATATTATCTTAAGTTGGGGTAAAGAGTACATATAATATACATGGTTCACTAATTTGAAAAGAGAAACAAAGGTCCTGTCCATATGGCTTTGATGCATATAAAGGGAAAAGGCCACCCTGGCTGGGTAGCTCTGTTGGTTAGAGCATCGTCCTAATACACCAGGGTTGTGGGTTCAATCTCCAGTTAGTCAGGGCACATACAAGAATCAACTAATGAATGCATAAATAAGTGGAACAACAAATCTCTGCTCCCATTCTCTCTCCCTTTCTCTTTCTCTAAAATAAATTTTTAAATATTTTTAAATATATTTAAAGGGAAGAGGCTGGACTTGTCCAGCTTGCCCCAAAATAAGACTAACTGGGTGCCTTCAGTCAAGCCCTACCTCCAGCTCCTTCCCCGTGGAGTCAGGAGAAGCTGGGGGAGGTGTCACCAAGGAGGAACTATTAAACACACTCTTCTCCCCTCTCTTTTAATTCCTTTGGGTAGAAATGATCTGACCCAGGCTGACTTCACTTGGGGCCTCAGAGAAATGGAAAGGAATTATATATTTTCTTAAGGATCTAGATAACACAAGATCCCTTTTGTAATGTAAGGTGACTGAAAAATATTTATTATCTAAAAATTAAATTTGGTTGGTATAGTCGATATCATGCACTGCTGGTGGAAGAAGGAATTAGAACAATCTTTTTGTGGGAGCAATTTGCAGTTCTATCAGAATGTAAAATTCACATCCCTTATTTACCACTAGAAACTTACCCTCAGCAGCACAACCAGGACATATGTCAAATATATTGATTGCAGTACCTCTACTTATAGGAAAACACACTGGAAACTAACTAAATGCTTAACGCTAAAGGGAACCGGTTTAAAAAACTACAATGCGCCCTGGCCGGTTTGACTCAGCGGTTGGAGCTTCGGCAGGAGGTCCAGAGAGACCCGGGTTTGGTTCTTGCTAAGGGCAGTTTGTCCCCGGCCCTGGGTGGTCGTGCGGGTGGCAGCCACTCGATGTGTCCCTTTCACGTTCATGTTTCTTTCTCTCTCTCTCTCTCCCTCCCACTCTGTCTAAACAAAAAAATGAAAAAATGTCCTCAGGTGAGGATAAAAAAAAAAAAACTACAATGCAATCACATAATGGGAAAATAAAGTATTTCTTTGTTCTTTTCAAATGCATGAGAACCCCATCGTTCCTTTATCTTGGTTACACGATCTAAAATACTACGCTTCTCAAACCTGCCCGGAATTCCCCTGCATCATTGTGAAACCTACTGAGATGCTATTTCAGTAAGATCTTGTGGTTGCAGCCCGCCTTCTGGGACCAGGACTGTCCTCGACCGTCTGAGAACTCCAAAGGAATATTCTTTTTTTAGAAACCCACGTTTTTCTCCTTATCTGTTAACTAAAAGCATCAATCTTCCCAAACACGCCACCGCTGACAAATGCCATAGGAGGGTGTTCACACGTAGATCCAGTCCTGGCCGACCCCAGGCGTCGGTGCGCACAGAGCGCACCGGAGCGGAGGCAGGCCCGTCAGGCCCAGCTTTCCATCACCCACCTGGCACGTGCCCCGCCTCCAAAAGGCTACTGCCGTTTGAAAATCCTGCATATTCTCAGTATTCACTTTATGTTTTTAAAAAAATCAAATCACAAAATACACTTCTTTGGGGAACTCGGGAACTTCCTCTCAAAGAAGGTTTGGACTTTGATACTCTGTCAACTCAAGAGAACTGCGCCTCGTCTATACTAGAGGTGGTCGCGATCTGGGATCAGACAGCGAAGAGAACTGGACAAGCTCTGAAGGAAGAGAGCTCAGAGATCCCCCTCAGAAATGGCCCCACACCTCTGCTCAGTTTTAAATCTCCGGGACATTGAAAATAGTTTCTTTCCAAAAAATCATAGAGAAACACACTTGCATGGGCTTACCTTTTTCTTTGACAGAGTCCTTTTGCACCTCTGGGATCAGGAAACTATAAACCAACTCAGCAACAATCTCCTCTGACTGAAGCTGAGTTCGACTGAAAAATAAACAAATTAAACAATTTCCTTTGTGGCTGTACTCAAGCTGCTGGTCTACACTTTGACCCTCCTGACCTGTGTGAGGAACTCCACTGCTCCAATCCCACCACTGCCTTCTGCTTGATTACGCGATCTGCAACATCACATTCCTGGTGAGCGGGGTTAACCCCACGGAAAATTCAGATGGGTCCCATCCTTCATGTACCCTGCCTGCTAGGAAGGGAATGTTAGAGATACAACTTATACATGGAAGCCAGACACCTTGGGGTGAAGCCTAGTAATGTTGCATGTACTCACTCACATGGCTTTCATGATTTGAGGTATTCAAAAAGTAAGGAATGTGGCCCTGGCCGGTTTGGCTCAGCGGTTAGAGCGTCCGCCTGCGGTCCGGAGAGACCCGGGTTCGGTTCCCGCTAAGGGCACGTACCTCGGTTGCAGTTTGTCCCCGGCCCTGGTTGGTCGTGGGGGTGGCAGCCACTCGATGTGTCCCTTTCACATCGATGTTTCCCTCTCTCTCTCTTCCTCTCTCTCCCTCCCACTTTGTCTGTACAAAAAATGGAAAAATGTCCTCGGATGAGGATAAAAAAAAAAAAAAAAGTAAGGAATGTGGTCCAGCCGGTGTGGCTCAGTGGCTGAACGTCTACCCATGCTCCAAGAGGCCGGATTCCCAGTCAGGACACATGCCCAGTTTGTGGGCCTTATCCTCAGTGGGGGGCATTCAGGAGGTGGCCAATCGATGTTCTCTCTCATCGATGTTTCTATCTCTCACTCTCTCTCTCAAATCAATAAAGAAAAAAAAAATTTTTTTTTTTTAATGTAAGGAATGTAAAAGTGATCCAGACTTCAGAGGATACCTAAAAATTCCATTCCCAACGCTCCTACCACACGATGGTATAAGCATGCTAGCTCCTAAAGCATCGTGCTGATAAAACAATGCACACTGAAGCACAAGTTACATATTTGTGTTTCCTTGGTGGTGACCTCTTAAGCTTCTGAAAAATACATATAAGCAACAGCATGTAGGCTATCTATTCTACCATCCGTTCTCCTGGCGCGTACCGGCTTTCCATTTCATCAGCAATGTCATTGATTTCCTTAGCCATCTTCTCAATTTCCTCCCTGGCTTGTTCCTCTGCAGTATTCTCCTCGGTGCTCAGTATTATGTCTTCCAGGTAGGAAGTTACAGTACTTTGGTGAACTTTAACCACCTGCAAAAACCCCGAATGCCCCTGGTTACTGAGAACAGGATTACTTATGTAAACAAGAGAAGAAAAATACACAAACATTGGTCGACTTTTTGTTTTTTAAGCACACTTATTTAGTTCATTAAGTCAGTGGTCCCCTCACTGATCATTCTTTTTCTCTACTATCTAGACAGTCTGTTTCTAATCCACCTGCCTACTCATTCTAGGCAGTCCCCACCCACCTGGAATTATGGATTTTCCTGGAGGGTAGACACTGCAACACTGCAAATAGATCATGGATCCTGGCTTTGTTCTTAGCCACAGCATGTCTTGGTCAAACTACCAAACGGTGGCAGAGACTAAGGTATTTCCCAATGTCCTTTCTCTCCTTCCTCTTAAATAATAGAACCCTTGGATTTTGGCTAAGCCAACAGGTCCCTAGAACAGGCGACATTTCCTAGCACCTGTAGTTCTAGTCAAGGAAATACCTATGGAAGAGATCTGGGCACCTACCAGAAAGGACTCTTAAAAGGAAAAACCTAGCTTATTTTTCTTCTTCCTGTTTTCATTTCTCATCTCATGGGGACACAATGCTGGAGCACCAGAAATCATCTTAAACTGCCACGAGGGCCTTGCCTTAGGGACAGAAAAGCAGAGAGCTAGAGGGATCCTGGATCTTGGATAAATTTTCTGAACTATCTTATCAGTCCTGCACTGCTTCTTCTTAAGCTGTCTTCAAACTGTGAAATAGAACAGGCATTTGGAAAAGTACAGAGTGCATAACTGGACCGTGTAATGAAGCCAACACCCACACTGCCACCACTGGGATGATGATCTGGGTCATCATCCCAGATGACCGCCGTGGGTCTTCCTGACCACATCCCTTTCCGTTCTTGCGATTTTACTGCAAACACTCCCTCTTCTTTATCATTTTGCTCCCTAAGTGTACAACCACAGTAAAAGTTTTGTTTTGCCCGTTTAACAGGTAGATACACAGGAAGCAGCTGGCAGCACTCTTAGTTTTGTACGCATTCACCCTTGGGCGATTTTTTTTGCTTTGTGGGGGGAGGGTACTTTTCTATTTCATGTCTGAACATGTCTGTGTATCTGAGATAATGCCTGGGGCTCAGTAACAACTCAGCACCTGTTTGGCTCTACAGCAGGACACTGAGAATGTACTGTTTACTCTGTAGCGACCTGTAAAACACCTAAGCCATAACCTTGAACCCCTGTGCCTTCCCTATAGGAGAAACCACATGACCAGTTCCATTCGCTGTCCACCAAGCAACCAACCAATCAAAATATATTCGCTCAATGTCCACCAGCACAGGGATCCATGCTGGTACAACACGCCTGCCCTAGGAGCCCACAGTCGACCAGGGAGTCAAGTTGATCCTAGAGGAAACAATCAGACAGCTGAGTCTTACAATAGTTCACAGCTGGGAAGTTCAATGTGGTCCACCTGTAGCAGTGTATGTACTTGTGTGCTTCTGTATATCTTTATAAATGCGTAAGTGTCTTGACACACTGTGCTTGTACGTGCAGAGTAAATGAGGAAATAGACAGGTGGCTACATGTGTGTCCATGTAGGAACTCAATGCAAAGTTGTTGAATACAATACAAAACAGATGCCAACGCATTTCATGAGTTTCCTGTGGTTTGACTCGGCTCCTTACAAACAGCTTCCAGATATCCCGCTGCCCTCACTTGCCTCCTTAAATATCTCGTCCTCCTCCCGCAGGCGCCTCTGTTCCAGCTGGCGCCGACCACTCTCTTCAGCTTCTCGCATCCTCCGCTGTCGCTCGGCCAGCATGGCAAAGGCGTGGATCCTCCTCTCCTCCTGGAGTCTCACCAGCTCTTTGGACAGGAAGTCGAACATGTCCGCCAGCACCCTTCCTTCCAGTCCAGCCAAGTGGTTTTCAACTAGGGACAACTTCAAAATAATATAACCTTAAGGAGGCAAATCCCACAAGGCGTGGTGATCTATAATGAGAGACGCTGGCTTTCTTTGCAGAATGGACTCAGTTTTTATTAGGACTATTATCTCTAGACTGGCCCCATCCCAAGGGTTCTTACTAGGAAAATGTATGATGCAATCTTAGACATGAGAAAGTAGAATGCTCAGTCAGTCACTGAAAAGTTACAGTCCTCGAGTTATAAAGAAGATTTAGCAAAGAATTCCGTTAGTGTCCACACAGAATGCATTTTTTAATTTCGATTTTATCCAGAATTTAAAGTACTATGTCTTCCCAGACATGAAAAGAAATGTCAAGGGGTTTTATTTAAAGATCACATTGGGGCCTGGCCAGTGTGGCTCAGTGGTTGAGCGTCAACCCATGTACTAAGAGGTCACTGGTTCAATTCCTGGTCAGGGCACATGCCCAGGTGTGGGCCTGATCCCCAGTGGGAGGCATGCCGGAGACACCCAATCGATGTTCTCTCTCATCAATGTTTCTATCTCTCTCTCCCTCTCCCTTCCTCTCTCTAAAATCAATTAAGAAAAGAAAATTAAAAAAAAAAAAAAAAAAGATAACATTGGAGCCCGGCCAGTGTGGCTCAGTGGATTAAACATCAACCCATGGACAGAGAGGTTCTGATTCAATTTCCAGTCAGGGCATCTGCCTGGGTTGCAGGGTTGAATCCTCTGTAGGAGGCATGCAGAAGGCAGCCAATCGATGCTTCTCTCTCACATAGATGTTTCTATCTCTCCCTTCCTCTCTCTCTAAAAAAATCAATAAAAACATAAAACAATAATATTAGAGTTTAATAAAATAGAATCTCCTAGAAATTCACCCATAAACTTTTTTTTTTTTTTGCATGTTATCTTCAGATAGAGTGGAGGAAGAGAGAGAGAGAAACATCGATGTGAGAGACACATCGAGTGGCTGCCACCCACATGACCCCAACCGGGGCCAGGGACAAATTGCAACCAAGGTACATGCCCTTAGCAGGAACCAAACCCAGGTCTCTCTAGACTGCAGGCTGACACTCTAACCGCTGAGTCAAACTGGCCAGGGTGACTTTGAAGTTATTTAAAAGAAAAGAAGGTGCTGTGGTTTTCTACTTTCATGTTATTAAAGATCTTAAAATTCCCCAAACTTATGTCAAAGAGCAAGGTATTAAAAAATTAAAAGGTTCATGGATGAGCCCTGGCTCCCTCCCTCCCTCCCTTCCTCCCTTTCTCCCTTCTTTTTTTCAAATAAAGAACTTAAAACCAATTGAGTGAGGGAGGGCACACCCCATTCTAATCATGGACTGTGGTAGCATTGTTTAAAAATGCAGATGGCGGGATAGAGTGATGGGGTTGTGGGGATGTTTCTTTTTCATCCATTCATTTATTATTATTATAATGTTGCTCAAGCAACCGTGATAAGAATGTAACAAGAAAGAAAAGGAAAGAACCTTGTGTTCATGCAAGTTCCTCTGCCGTTGTAGGGCCAGGGTCACTTGCTTCTCGGCTTTCTTCACCAGCCTGTCGTCTTCTTGCAGGGCGTGGGTGGTGCGCAGCTCCTGAATCAACTCTAGTCTCTTTTCTTTCCCTTCAAACATCTGTATCAAATCAAATCAAAGACAGACTTGCAAATTTAGCATCCCTTGTGGCCAGGCACTCGGGACTCACACGTAATGACTCATGAAGAGTGGGTTCTGCTCTGCCTTTTGGGACCACAGAGCGGGCTCAGCCCTCTCACCACACCTTCAGCTGCTCAGGCAGGAAGAAGCTTAGTTATGTTAGTTGATTACTCGATTTCTTAACATGCCTTTCAAAGACAAGGTGACCGCTATAGGGGTCATACTAAGAAACTTAAACTTCTCATTTCCTGTGCTCCTACTTCCTGCCTGCTCTTTGCTACAGTTGTAACCCAGACAGTGTGAAACTAATGTCTTTCTTTGACAAAACCTGGTGATGGTATGTCATGGCAATGTTTTTCTTTTCCAATAGATTTGCTCCTGGTTTGTAATACACAATGTACTGGCTGAACTGTGCCATTTCTCCTGGGAAAATACCAAAAGCAGAATAAAGAATAATGCTGGACACAAAATGCTCACCCAGTTTCCCTGGACTTACTCTTAATAACCGAGTCTCTTAAGAGTTATAACTGTCTGGGGAGAAAACATTTTTAGCTGGGGCTTTATATCAGTCCACTTTTTAAACTGAGTGCTTGCCTTGGCAGCACAAATAATCTAAGACTACACAGTTAAGAAGATCAGAGTTGAATTTGCTGGCAGTTAACATGCTCTCTTTCAAACTCACATTACTTGCCTGTAAAATAGGGTAACTGATAGCGAAAAAAAGAGAGATACTATGCATAGAGCACAGATTGTACAATGCGGGCATTTAGTAGTGGTTCAGAACTATAGTTATTATTTAGCTATTTCATTTATTATTCAGGCATTGCCAACTATGTGCAAGCTCAAATAATTTGTATTATGACATTGTAGAAAATTAGGGAATCCACTGGGTTGGTGATGTTTTAATGGTTAAAATTCAGGTAAGAAAATTGCTGGATTTAGCAATTCAAAGGAAGACATTAGTTTCACACTGTCTTGGTTACAACTGTAGCAAACAGCAGGCAGATGGACAATTTATGGCAGTAGAAGGAAATGAGTAGATAATTCAAGACTATAGTTCCAAAGAACATATATGCATAACCCAGAGACACAGACAACAGTGAAATGATGGCCAGAGGGAAGGGGAGGGGCGAGGGTTGGCTGGAGGTGGGCAAACGGGGGAGGAATGGGGACATCTGTAGTAGCGTAAACAATAAAAATAAAGTAAAAAAAGAAAAAGAAAGAAAGATTATAGTTCCATAGGAAAGCAGGGTGAATTCACCCCAAGGAACCAAGCACGTATGCATTCTATAAATCTATTTTTAAAGGAGAAACACAGGGCCAGTGGCTGGACCCTACACACCATGTTCTGAACGACTCTGCCCCGGAGTAACTTTTGAAGGTAGATAACAGCCACTTCTATGTCTTCTTCTTCCTAAAAGAACAAAGACAGAACTAAGCAGCTTGAGAATAGCAGTCAGTATCAAACAATTTTTTGAAGAATTGTATCAAGCAAAAGAAACTGTGCTAGATGCCAGAAGGATTTAAAGAGAAATGTTTTTAAATGGTCCCTACCTTCAAAGAACATATAGTATTTTAAATGTTATTTACTGTTATTAAAATTCATCATTATTTTTCATCATAAATTAACAAATCATATCAAAAGCAGTGCTATCCCCAAATCAGTCATGATATCCCTATAATTTAAGCCATTTTCATCTTTCTATACTTCCTTCCAGTAAAATGGTTCTTGAAGTAGAAAGTATTATTAATATCACTTTTGCAATAGTGTTTTCATGTTTGCTCATGAATAATAAAGAATACAGCTAGTCTGTGTCAGAGTCTAGAGGGAGGTGTTTCTCACAAGAATTTAGCAAAACTAGTAAAATCAGAATACAGTGGACAAGATCAGTCATTTACAAAAATCACTTTAAATAATTATGTGTCAAAAGCAGAAAGAGCAGCCCTGGCTGGTTTGGCTCAGCGGTTGGAGCATTGGCCTGCGGTCCGGAGAGACCCGGTTTCGGTTCCCGCTAAGGGCATGTACCTCGGTTGCAGTTTGTCCCCAGTCTTGGTTGGTCGTGCGGGTGGCGGCCACTCGATGTGTCCCTTTTACGTCGATGTTTCTCTCTCTCTCTCTTCCTCTCTCTCCCACTCTGTGCAAAAAATGGAAGAATGTCCTCAGGTGAGGATGGAAAAAAAAAAAGCAGAAAGAGCAGAGTCATATCTAATTAAGGCACCTTTGAATGCAAGAGGAAGCAACAGTGAGATCAATGGCATTAACACGTGATAGACAGTGTGTTGATCACAGGCAGTGGTCACACAAAGTCTAAGAAGGGGGTGTTGTCCAGAGCACATCCTAGCCAGTCAGTGGGAGCATTCCAGTCCCCCCACAGTTGACCCATCAGGTGCTGGTGAGATCTGCTGTCAACTCCCCTCCCCCTGACAAAGCACAACCTCCTAAATACAATTTGGCTTCTCATCAGAATTGCCCTCTATAGGGAGATAATGGGCTGACCTACCAAGAGGAACATCCTGATCCACCAAGCAGTTTTATTTTCTCCATAAAGTAATAACTTTGCATTTTGGCATTGCTAGCAGTTTATTGTGGGTTTGTTTAGTCTGGGTCAGTCCTAAACCAGTCTGGTACCTTGCTCAAACTGAGTTTGGGATCTATGAAGGCGAGGTATGGCCCTGCAAGGCGAACTCTTTGAGGCAGCCCGACCTCAGAAGCAGCCTGTCTTGATGACTTCCTGATACTTCGTTCCTCTCTGACTCCAGCTGTCATCAGCTACCTCGCAGTGTAGGAAGACAGTTACAGTAACTGATCACCATTCAATCCTTTTTTTATTTGACATACATGAGGATTACCATCTGAAGCTTAGCTTTCTTGGTAAAATATTTTATTCTTTGTGTTTCTATTCTTGAAAAGGGTTAGTTTAGATTTCATTTTACTTGTTTTCATGACTGTGTGTTTGATGTTTGAAAATAAGAATAAAGACAGCATAAATTAGCACTGTTAAATTAGGTATGGTTTTAATCCAAACTATCCTAAGAATAAATAGACAGCAATACCAAGTTTAGCATTTTAAATAGAAATGTGTCAAACTTACATTGGAACTCAGTTCCAAGGTTGGAGTTGGAAGCCGAGGTTGAGGTATTGGCTTTCTTTGAAGAAAGAGCAGAGGTTTCTTTGGTTCAAGAACCTTATTCTTCTTATCCAACAGTGCCTGAAATAACACCAACCATGGTCATTTCTTACCTTTATATTTTCTTTTTTTTTTGTTTAATCCTCACCCGAGGACATTTTTCCATTTTTTGTTCAGATAGAGTGGGAGGGGGAGACAGAGAGAGAAAAACATCGACGTGGAAGGGACACATCGAGTGGCTGCCACCCGCACGACCAACCAGGGCCGGGGACAAACTGCAACCGAGGTATGTGCCCTTAGCGGGAACCGAACCCGGGTCTCTCTGGACTGCAGGCCGACGCTCTAACCACTGAGCCAAACCGGCCAGGGCCAAATTTGCCATTTTAAATGACTGCCTGGACAATAGAAAATTTTTCTGGGCAGTAAATGACTGAAATATTTGGTATGTTTTCTTGTTATGGGGGAACTGAGGAGCATTGTACGGTAACTGTCTCAAAGGGAAGAGAGAGCTCTACTTTCAGCCTTGACAGCCTGCACATCAAGATTCTTGCAAATGAACTTGCTTCCTTCTGAAAGAATGTTTGTGTTTCTGTTTCAACATACATTTTTTTTTTAAGTTTTGGTCAGCAGAAGTCCTGCCAAAATTATATGTAATGTATGGTTTTATTCATTGGTATCATTTTCAGCTATAAGGGGATAGTTTAACTTAAAAGTATCAAAAATTTTGATCTCAATGATTTTAAAAATCATACTTTTTCATCATATAATAATTTTTACTTTTTTTTTTTGTAAAAAAAAAAAGTGATAAAACAAGCCATAAGCCAAAAGTTAAAGTTAATAAAATATGCCAATTATAAGTAAAATTTGGAACCACATGAAATTACTGTGGTTGTAACAGAGCCTTTGAGTTTCTTCAAAATAAAATTAACATCAAATATATAATAGTTCTACGATAACCACAGCTAAAGAATCAATGGAAAGCAGCAGCAGTCTAAAAGTAATTAATAATTCTAAACTCGGGCATCTCATGAGTGAAATGCCCTGAGCAATATCACATGATTAAAACCAATCATTTATAACAGATTATGTTGGTAAGGATATGGGAAAACAGGCACTTTCACACATTGCTGAATTTAGTATATCATTTCTGTAAGAAAACTTGGTAATAGCTATCAAAATTATAAATGCACATATATTGTGGGCCAGCCATTCCATGTCTAGGAATTTTATTCTAGAAACATAGTTTACGTATGTATCAAACTATATGCAAACAAGGTTACTCTTTGTAGCATCATTGTTTTTAATACTAAAAAGTTGGAAATCATATAAACATCGATCAAAAGAAGATAGGTTAAATACATTATGGTATCTTTATACAATGATATATTGCGCAAAAAATAATAAGAAAGCTTTTCTGGTAACACTGACATGAAATTATATATATTAAGTTAAAGAAGCACAGAAATAAAAGTGTGTGTTACATACTAATATTTGTGTAAAAAAGAGTTTAAAATACCTATTTGTTTATATACATTTATAAATACACATACACACATGCACATATGTATGTATAAATACACATATATTTGCTTATATAAAATATCTCTAGAAGGATAGATATGAAATTAGAATTACCAGTTTCTAAGAAGATATATTGCCTGGACATAAACCTGATATTTAGTAACTCTCTTTAATTCAAACCAATATTTCAAACTGATAGACTCCATAGAATCTCACCCCAAAGCCAAAAGGGGAGATAAAAACAAGGACAATAAAAGAATGTGAATCCGCTGATACCATTAGCTATAAGAAACATTAAACACAACACAACTCCGAGCCAGATTAATATAAATCCCACTCGACAGCTATTTACCTCAGTTCCTATTACCTGATAACAGATGTCAGGCTATCAACAAAAAAATTAAAAAGCAAGAAAAACATAGTCTATAGAGACAAGCAATCATCGGAACCAAATTCAGCTATGACACAGAAATAGACAGAAATTTAAAATATTTATAATTAATATGTTAAGAACATTAATGGAAAAGGTGGGCAACATGTAAGAAGAGATGAGTAAGGTAAACAGAGAAACTCTAAGAAAGAATCAAAAGGAAAACTTAAAACACAGTAAAAGGAATGAAGATTGCCTTCAATGGACTCATTAGTAGATTTGATGCAGCCAAGAAAAGAATCAAGGAACTTGAAGACAGGTCAATAAAAACTCCCCAAGCTAAAATGGAAGAGAAAAATAACCAAAAACAGAACAAAACATCCAAGAACTGTGAGATGATATTTAAAAATGTAATGTTGTAACTGGAATCCCCAAGGAGAAGAGAGAATGCAGCAGAAAAAATATCTGAAGTAATAATGGCTGAAAATGACTGACAAACACCAAACCACAGATCCAGAAAGCTTAGAGAAAATCAAGCGAGATACTTACCAAACAAACAACAACAAAACCTACCTCAGGCTTATAATATTTAAATTAAATTAAACCAAACACAAAGAAAAAAAAATTGAAAACAGCCAGAGGAAAACCACACCTTAACTATTGAGGAACAAAGACAAGAATTATAGCAAACTTGTAGTGGGAAACCATGCATGCAAGAAACGAATGGAGTGAAATCTTTGAAGTGTTAAAAGAAAAAACCGACCAACCTAGAATTCTACACCTAGTAAAATTATTGTTCAAAAGTGAAAAGATTGGTCCAACCGGTGTGGCTCAGTGGTTGAGCGTCGACCCATGCATCAAGAGGTCGCTGGTTCGATTCCCAGTCAGGACATATGCCCAGGTTGTGGTCCCAATCTCCACTGGGGGTCATTTAGGCAGCAGCCAATCAATGTTCTCTCTCATCGATGTTTCTCTCTCTCTCTCCCTCTCACTTCCGCTCTCTCTAAAAATCAATAAAGGAAAAAAAAAAATTAAAACCACGAAAGTGAAAAGATCAAAGTTAAAAACTTTTGTGTTTCAAAAGATATTATCAAGAAAGTAAAAAGACATTCCACAGAATGGGAGAAAAATTTGCAAGTCATATATCTGATAAGGGTCTAGTCGCTAGAATATATATACAGATTTCTTACAATTCAACATTAAATAGACATTAAAATACTGTTTATAATAAATAATAAAAAGACAACCTAATTTAAAAATGAGCAAAGGATCTGAATAGGCACTTATACGCACACACACACAGATATACAAATGACTAATCGGCACAAAAAAGTTGCCTGGTTAGTGTGGTTCAGTGGTTGAGCATCGACCCATGCACCAAGAGGTTGCCGGTTCAATTCTTGGTCAGGGCACATGCCCAGGTTGTGGGCCTGATCCCCAGTGGGGGCATGCAGAAGGCGGCCAGTCAATGTTCTCTCTCATTGATGATTCTATATCTCTCGCCCTCTCCCTTCCTTTCTTTTTTTTTTTTTTTTTTTATTTTCTTATCCTCACCCGAGGATATTTTTCCATATTTTGTACAGATAGAGTGGGAGGGAGAGAGAGGAAGGGAGAGAGTGAGAGAAACATCGATGTGAAAGGGACACATCGAGTGGCTGCCACCCGCACGACCAACCAGGGCCGGGGACAAACTGCAACCGAAGTATGTGCCCTTAGCGGGAACCGAACCCGGGTCTCTCCGGACCGCAGGCCGACGCTTTAACCGCTGAGCCAAACTGGCCAGGGCTCTCCCTTCCTTTCTAAAAGCAATAAAAAAAAAACCATAAAAAAAAAAAAAAGTTGCTAAAATTCATTCATAATTAGACAAACTCAAATCAAAACCACAGTGATATACCACCTCACACATACTAGGATGCCAATAAATAAAAAAGATAGATGATAACAAGTGATGGCAAAGATGTGGAGAAATTGGAACCAACATACATTGCTGGTGGGAATGTAAAATATTGTAGCCACTTTTGAAACAGTTTAGCAGTTTCTCAAAAATAAAATGTAGAATTACCATGTGACCTAGCAATTCCATTTCTAGGTATAGACTCAAGGGAACTGAAAAAACATATGTCCACACAAAAATCTGTACATGAAAGTGCATAGCAGCATTATTTATAAACAAAAAGTATAAGACAACTCAAATTTTCATCATCTGATGAGTACATTTAAAAAATGTGGCCCTGGTCAATTTGGCTCAGCAGTTAGAGCGTCAACCTGTGGTCAGAGAGATCTGGGTTTGGTTCCTGCTAAGAGCGCGTACCTCGGTTGCAATTTGTCCTCAGCCCCGGTTGGGTTGTGGGGAGGTAGCCACTCGATGTGTCCCTTTCACGTTGATGTTTTTTTCTCTCTCTCTCTCCCACTCCATCTGAACAAAAAATGGAAAAATGTCCTTGGGTGAGGATAACAAAAAAAATGTGGTATATCCATGTAATAGACTATTATGTGCCCATCAAAAGTAATAAAATACTGACACATGCTAGAACATGGATGAACTTTTAAAAACATCATGCTATGTGAAAGAATCCAGACACAAAAGGCCATGCATTGTATGATTCCATTTATATGTGATACCCAGAATAAGCAAATCCATAAAAAGAAAGTAGATTAGCAGTTGCCAGGGGCTGGGGGAAGAAGATAATTAGGAGTGACTGCTACAGGTATGAGGTTTCTTGGGGGTAATAAGAATGTTCTGGAATTAGATAGTGGTGATGGCTGAACAATCTTGTAAACATAGTAAAAACAACTGAATAATATTCTTTAAAAGGGCAAACTTTATGATATGTAATTATATCTCAAAAAAAAGTAAAAGAGAACTAAAGACCTCCTGAAACAAACAAAAACTGAAGGCGTTCATTGTCAGCAAAAGTGCCCCGCGATAAACAGTAAAACAAATTCTTCAGGCAGGAGAAAAATGACATAAGTCAGAAACTTGGATCTAATGCATAAAGAAAGAAAGAGTGGTGAAAGAATGAATAAAGGTAAAATAAAAGCCTTTTCTTTTCTTTTAACTTTTAATTGATTTAAAAAGATAGCTGGTAAAGGATTAATAGTAAAAATGTATTGGGTTTATAGCATATGGATCAGTGAAATGAATGATAGGATCCCTGGCCATAGAGCAATTGAGTTAAAAGTTAATTTAAAAATGAGTTAAAATTCCTGCATACTTAGAAATTAAAAAACCCACCATTAAATACTTACAGTTTCAAAACTATAATGGATGTTTTAAAAATATATACATTAATAAAAATGACAAACACTATATATCAAAACTAATAAACTGTACCAAAAGCAGTGTTTTGAAGGAAATGTTTAGCCTTAAATACTTATATAAATAGATATATACTTATATAAAACTGATAAGTGCCTGAAAATAAATGAGCTACATGTCTACTTTAAGTTAGGAAAAGAACTATAAAAAACAAGGCCAGCCCTGGCCGGTTTGGCTCAGCGGTTAGAGCGTCAGCCTGCGGTCCAGAGAGACCCGGGTTCGGTTCCCGCTAAGGGCACGTACTTCGGTTGCAGTTTGTCCCCGGCCCTGGTTGGTCGTGCGGGTGGCAGCCACTCGATGTGTCCCTTCACGTCGATGTTTCTCGCTCTCTCTCCCTTCCTCTCTCTCCTTCCCACTCTATCTGTACAAAAAATGGAAAAATGTCCTCGGTTGAGGATAAAAAAAAAAAAAAAAAAAAAAACAAGGCCAAAGAAAGTAGAAAGCTATAATAAATATGAATGGGAATTAATGTAATGGAAGAAATATATAATAAAATCAACAAAGTAAAAAATTGCATTGTTTGGAAAAACAATACCCAGACAATAAGCCTCTAGTAAAACTGATTGATTAAGGAATTGAAGCACAAATAAATAATACTATGAATGGCCCTGGCTGGTTTGGCTCATCGGTTAGAGAGTTGGCCTGTGGTCCAGAGAGACCCGGGTTCGGTTCCCACTAAGGGCGCGTACCTCAGTTGCAGTTTGTCCCTGGTCCTGGTTGGTTGTGCGGGTGACAACCACTCGATGTGTCCCTTTCACATCGATGTCTCTCTCTCTCCCCCTCTTCCTCTCCCCCTCCCACTCTATCTGAACAAAATATCGAAAAATGTTCTTGGGTGAGGATAAAAAAAAAAAATGCCGTCAATAATACTATGAATGAAAATGAAGAGTAGGCATGACTATAGATAAAACAAACACTAAAAGGATTGTAAAATAACACTATGAACAACCATATTCCAAAACATTTGAAAATTAGGTAAAATGGAATTTGCAAAGAAAATATAATTTGCTAAAACAATGTAGAAAGATCTATAAGTTTTAAGGAAATTGAAGGAGTGGTTAAAAATTTCCCATAAAGAAAACATTAGTCTCAGATAATTTTATATAAATAGTCAACCAAACTGAAGAACCAGGTCATCTCAAACTTATTTAAACTCTTAAAAAGTAGCAAAGAAGGAATACTCCCAGTTCATTTTGGAAGACTTGCATAACTCTGACACCAATGCCATATACAGTTAAAATTAGAAATAAAAATAAGGCTATTTCACTCATGAATACAGAATTAAAACTCTGAACAATATATTAGTAAGTCAAATCCAACAATGTATTAAAAACAAGATAATACACCTTGACCAAGTTAGCGTCTTCCCTGGTATACAAAGATCAATTTTTATTTGTAAAAAAGAAACTATTATTGTTCCTTAATGCAATAATAATTTTAAGTTAAAAAATACATAATAACCTCAATACAAAATATTTGATAAATTTCAACATAAACAGTTGATTTAAAGTGTCAGTAAATAAGAATGGAAGGAAACTTCCATACCCCAATGAGTATCTACAAAAATATCTTACAGGAAGTGAGAGAATAATGAACACAGAGTTCAGATGGGTAACTAAAGGATGAAGTAGGAAAGAACCACATAGATATATATGTAAATCATTGTCAAGGTCCTAATATTTTGTTGTTGTTGTTGTTGTTGTTAATCCTCACCCAAGAATATTTTTTCATTGATTTTTTTTTTTTTTTTTTTAGATAGAGTGGAAGGAAGGGAGGAGGGTGGAAGGGAGAGAGAGAGAGAGAGAGAGAAGTATCAATGTGAGAGACATCAATTGGTTGCCTCCCCCACCACCCTGACTGGGGCCGGGGACTGCACCTGCAACCCAGGTACCCGCCCTTGACCCTTAGGTCTGCGGGTCGACACTCTAACCACTGAGCCAAACCAGCCATGGCCTAATTTTTATCTTAAGTGTGGTCTACCATGGATTCTTATTCTATTACTAAAACCAACTGAACAAGCAAACAAGCATGGACCAGTGATGAGAATGTCATGCACCAGGGAGTCTCAAAGTGTGGTTCCTGCAGCATCAGCATCACCATCACCTGGAAACTTGTAAAAAAAATGCCAATACGCCAGCCCTACTGCAGACCTATTGAATCAAAAATGTTGTGGGTGGGACCCAGCAACCTGTGTTTTAATAAGCCCTCTAGGTAATCCTGATGCATGATAAAGGTTGAGCACCACTATCATAAATCACGTCTTCTAAAGTACCCAAGTCTGTACACCTATCGTCCAATATTAACAAAATACAAAGCCCAGGTGGTGGGTGCTGTGTAGGTGGTTCATGGGGATGACCATCAAACTTTCTCATTGAGTTAAGTTTTTTTTTGTTTTTTTTTTATCCTCACCCGAGGATATTTTTCCATTTTTTGTACAGATAGAGTGGGAGGGAGAGAGAGGAAGGGAGAAAGAGAGAGAAACATCAACGTGAAGGGACACATCGAGTGGCTGCCACCCGCACGACCAACCAGGGCCGGGGACAAACTGCAACCGAAGTACGTGCCCTTAGCGGGAACCGAACCCGGGTCTCTCCAGACTGCAGGCCGACGCTCTAACCGCTGAGCCAAACTGGCCACGGCTCATTGAGTTAAGTTTTAAACTACAGAGAGAAGTTGAATGTGACTTTCCTCATGATACTCTGGTAACAAATCTACAAGGGAGAAAACAAGGCCTATTATACTATTAAAACCAACAGTGATTCTAACACTAGAAACTTGCTACACCGCAATGTACTATCAAATTTATGTAGCTTCACTTTTAGACAGTAACATGGCCTATGTAAATGGAAAGAACAACCTCCAAGAGGTTTCCCTACAGTTTAAAATGAGGGAAAAAAACAGCTCAGCACAGGCAACCTCCAGAAAAGTCTAGAGAGGAGGAGGAATGGAGGGTTTAGTGTTGAGAACTGGACGCTGCTGCCCAAGACAAAGTGCAATTTTTGGAGTATAATATTTCTCTGCAAAAGAAACACTATGAGCATCTTGTCTTCCGGATAAGAATGATACCTTATGAACCTCTGCCAACTCGTGGTCCATCCTTGCCGCCTTCTTTAGAAAACCAGCTTTGGTGGTTATGACCTTAGGTTTTGGAGGTCTGATTCGGGGTTGTGTCACAAAATCTGGGAGAGCTGACTCCAGTTCGACTAATCCTGTGGGAAGGAAGTACGTGTTTTTAGTATCTGGTGCTTAAATTTAGCATTTTGAAAGTAGAATGTTAATTTTAGCCGCTGTTTGCCAAGAGGTCTCATCTAGAATTACTGATAAGGTGTATCTCATATAACTGAATCATCCCTAAAGTGTAAAGCAAATTTCTGTATAAATTCATGTTCTCAGTGACTTATACTAAAAAATAAGAAATGCATTCTAAAATGAAAACATCGCCCTAAAAAAATTAATTCCACAATAAAAATCAACAGAAAGTTAATAATCATGATACATGGCACTACGGTTCTGAAGTAGATGTATACCAATGTATCATGTTCTGCTCTGAAGATGGTCAACCAGAGCTACACAGTCAACACTGTAACCATCAACTCATGATCTTTCCATGTGAGGCTTCAACTTGTCAACTGAAATTTAAATAATTTAAATAAAGGCCTCTCTTGAACTCTATAACAGAAATAATCTTCTTCATGAACTTATCACCTGGTTTTCCATCCCTTTACCCCCCAGTTTGCTGGTATTTCTTCTTAAAGGATTTTATTATATATTTCCTATTTGCTCATAAACCTGGTATAAAAGCTTTTTCTATTTCATTTTTCCATAACTCTGATTATTAGTGACATTAAACATGTTTAAATGTTTAGTAGCTAATTGACTTTACTCCTTGATAAACTGTTGTATAGTGTATCCATTTATTTATTTGGGTCTTAGTAGCTTTTATTAGTTTGTAACAACTCATATTATTAATCAAATTAAATGTATTAATTACTATTTCTCGCAAGTATTTTTATTTGTTATTTAGCTTTTAATCTAAATTATGTTTTATATATTTTATATTTCTTTTTTATCCCACCTCTATTAACTATGCAATCTTTTATTTGTTTAACTAACCTGACTGGTATATTTTGTTACCAATTGAGAATCACAATAGATAATCCTAATCACTAGTATAAAAGATACAAAGTACTGCTCATATCAAGGCATAGGAAAACTCTCCTCCCCAAGATATATATAAATTATATATTTAATTTATACTGAACTTTAATTATGTAAATTGTTTACCTTCATAGGTGTCGAGATAGTGGTTTTTTACTACAAACGGCTCTGAGTTGTCTGGGAAACGACCAAGGCGAGACAGAGGTCCATAGACCTGTGATCCATAATCAGAATAGTCCTTGATGATATTTCTTCTCTGCAACTTTCCTTCTATATTCTTTCTCTTTCCCATAAGTTTTCTGATTTCTAAAACAAAATATACCTCCATGACTCTCTCCAAAATATTGTTCTGAATGGTCAAAATGAAGAATATAAACCAGTTCTCGTTTTATTCTCAGGGAAGCTACTGAACTGAATGAATTTCATGACGGCCTCTCACTGCATCGAGAATGGAACTCTAAACATGGAAGTCTGTCGTCTGTGACCCAGGCAGGAGTGACAGAGCTGACAGTGTCCTCAATTAGCACTCATCAAAAATCTCTCTTTTTTTTAAATCCTCACCCAAGGATATTTTTTCCATAGGTTTTTAGAGAGAGTAGAAGGGATGGAGGGAGGCAGGAAGGTAGAGAGAAAAACATTGATATGAGAGAGACACATCGATTAGTTGCCTCCCTCACACAACCCAACCAGAGCCCGGAGATCAAACCTGCAACCCTTCAGTGTGTGGGCCAATGCTCTAACCACTGCCCAACAGCCAGGGCTCATCAAAAATCTTTTATATTGCCCTAGCCGGTTTGGCTCAGCGGTTAGAGCGTCAGCCTGCGGACAGACCCAGGTTCAGTTCCTGCTAAGGGCACGTACTTCGGTTGCAGTTTGTCCCCAGCCCTGGTTGGTCGTGCGGGTGGCAGCCACTCGATGTGTCCCTTCACGTCGATGTTTCTCTCTCTTTCTCCCTTCCTCTCTCTCCCTCCTACTCTATCTGTACAAGAAATGGAAAAATATCCTCGGGTGAGGATAAAAAAAAAAATCTTTTATAAAAGCATTCTAAGCTCTGGGCCAAGAAGAGGTAGGTATTCAATAAAAGTTTATTAGATAAATGAAGGAAATTCAAAGTAACTGAAAAAAATACATGTTCAATGGAGACTAAGGGAATTAATTATTCTCTCCTAGAAGAATAATGAAAAGGGAGGGAAGACTGTAGATTTTTTTAATAATCTCTGCCCATTTTGGCTAAAACTACAATAAATTAAAATATGTCAAATTCTGGGGGGAAAAAAAGTATGTTGACAATATATAAATGCAGGTAGTTAAGTTAAAAGCTACTTCTCATATCATGAAAAAGTTAAAGTTACTAAAAATAATTTTTTTTTTTTAATCCTCACCTGAGGACATTTTTCCATTTTTTGTACAGATAGAGTGGGAGGGAGAGAGAGGAAGAGATAGAGAGAGAGAAACATCGATGTGAAAGGGACACATCGAGTGGCTGCCACCGCACGACCAACCAGGGTCGGGGACAAACTGCAACCGAAGTACGTGCCCTTAGCGGGAACTGAACCCGGGTCTCTCCGGACCGCAGGCCGACACTCTAACCGCTGAGCCAAACCGGCCAGGGCCTAAAAATAATTTTTAAAGAATTAATTTAATTCTTGTAATTATTTTACTTTTTCTAGAAAAATGACAATTTTGAATGATTTCTTTAAAATGTGATTATATTGATAAAATGTATGAACAAACAAAATGGCAATGAATACATATCTATCAACAATGGAATCTACAAACAAAATGAACAGGAAGAACAGAAACATTCTCATAGATACAGAGAACATTTTGTTGGTTGCCAGTTGGGAAGGGGGTTGGGGGAAAGGGTGAAAAAGGTGAAGGGATTAAGAAGCACGAACTCATTGCTAGACTGACAAACCTCAAAGGGAAAGGGGTTGGGGGGTGGGAAGAAATAAACCAAAGAACTTATATGCATAACCAATGGACACGGACAATAGTGTGGGAAAAGGTGGGAGGGGGGCGGGAGTGGGGAGGAGGGGGTCAATGGGGGAAAAATGTGGAACATCTGTAATACATTTTACATCCAACAATAAAGATTTGGAAAAAAAATAAAAATAAAAAAAAAAATAAAATAAAATGTGATTATATTGCTATTATATAAATTCATAATTTGTGTATATAATTGATACATTACAATTTTCATAAGTAAACCAATTACATTAAAAGTTACTTAATATAGCTAGAAAGTTAGTAGCAAGCATGGTAATTAATTTAAATTTTACTTTAACATTTTTAGTCATTCTTAATCTTCCATTGACTCTTCTTTTTATGTATAAAGTATTAAAATTCACAGGAGGGGACGAATAGAAAAAAAGATGTCTGAATGTCTGTTTTAGGGGACAATGATGGAAAAAAAGTTGAGAAACAGGACTCTTTTCAGGACACACACACACACACACACACACACACACACACCCCACAATGTCAATAGCTTGACAGCCTGTTAGAACATCATTACTTGATTTTCTTAGTAAGGAGTTTTCCTTCCCTCTTCTACTTTTGAGAAATAGCCCATCTCCCATCACTTACTTATTTAATAACACTAGGACCACTTATTTAATAACACTAGGACCAAACCAGAATTATGTCCTAGTTAAATCAGGCTTGATCAAAGATCCAAAGCAAAGTCAACTTTTCCATTTTCTTCATTGTTTGTACTGCATTACCTGATACATGTGTGCGATGAATTTTTGCAAATTTTGCCTCCTTGGCTTCCTGCATTTTAGACCACCGGCTATTCAAGTAGCTCATAGTCACTTCACTGTGACTCTTGTCACGTTGTCTCAACATCTCTTTTAGAACTTCCAGGCGAATCTCCTGCAGTCTTCAAGTAAATCACAACACATAAAGATGTAAATGGTGTCTCAAACAGGTGTTCTACTAGAGAGAAAGGGAACACCTGCCATAAACAGGATCTTCTCTTTTAGGCTGGTATCATAGTCATATACAAGGCTGCTCTGGCGACAGTGTGACAAACGGTGGTCTGGGGTGACAACTCGATAGTGAGTACATAATGGGAATATACATGAGTGCAGTTCTGAGGGACAAAAAAAAGTGCGCCAGGCAAAATAAGGGCTCTCCAGGCAGAAGGGCCTGAATGAACAGGACACTCATGCCCAGTTCCAGGCCGCTGGTGCTGGAGGGCCAAGCCACAGGAGGGAGGGGGAATGAGGGGTGGCATGCCTCCTTAAGCAGCGAGTGTGCAAATGCCAGTGTCTGCCACATGCAGGTACTTTGTCAGCGTTGTTTCCCTTCCCCTTCCCTTGTTCTCCCAGAGTTACCTTGCTCATGTGTATACAACCACAGTCAAATTACTTTAAAATCTATATCCAGCCCAGATCTTTCCAAACCAAAATTTCTGTCTACTTAAATCTCTCTCTATCCCCTGACAACCTCAAAAAAAGCAACTCATTAACCCACTCATTTTGTTCCCCCAGAAACCCACCCATTTCTCACATCTTCTTCCCTCTGAGTCCACCTCTAAAACACATCTGCTTCCATTCCCCAGTTCGTGTGTGTCATCTCCCTCCGAACTTGGTCTCCAGTTGCTAGTCTAGTCTTTCCCTGTTTCAATCCTCTTCCACACATCAAGACATAGAGATTTGAACATTTTACTCCTGCTTCAAAGTCCATACAGTAGTTATTCAGCCATTCATTTGCCAAATATGTTTTAAAGGCTCACCATATGCGAGGCAAACAACAATGAACAAGAGAAAGTGCCTTCTCTCAAGAAGCATTACTCCAGGGGAGTGGGCATATAAACCAACATGTACAGCACAAGGAGATAAACCCAAGCCAGAAGAATGAAGAGACTTCTGTGGGAGAAGACAACAGAGCATCACGTCTAGCACTATTTATTCCCTGCTGGTCAGGGGGAAAGGGTGGTGGTGGTAGGGAAGCCTTCCTTAGGGAGCCATTAAGTCTGGAGGACAAAGATTAAGATCTGCCACACTGACAAGGAGCAGTGAGGCATCAGCAGAGGCAGCTGAATGCTGACTCAAAAGGACTAAAGGCAGCCCTTGCTGGTTTGGCTAGGTGGTTAGAGCAACTGAAGGGTCTCGGCTTCAATTCTGGTCAAGGGCACGTACTCAGCTGAGTTGCAGGTTTGATCCCTAGCCACAGTCTATCTCTCCCCCTCCCTCTCTTCCACTCTCTCTAAAAGTCAATGGAAAAATATCCTCGGGTGAGGATTAACAACAACAACAAAAGGACTAAAGATAGTTAACATGTCACGCAGCTTCTCAAAGGAAATATGGCTGGGAGGGTGGGGAGCAGTGGCCAGTGGATATGGAGGGCGGGTTTTAAAGCAATCCACATGCCAACAGTCACCTTTCTTACAGAGTTAGAAATTCTAGGTTCCATTCTCAACCTAATCCCTTACCTCAGCTTCCTCAGTCATACAATGGGCAAGATAATAGTATCCATCCCATTAGGTTGCTGTGAGCATTAGAGGAGTCAAGGTTTACAATGTGCTAGAACAGTAGTTCTCAAACTTGGGCACACATCAGATAATCTGGAGGGTCTGTTATGACACAGACTGCTGCACCCAACCCTTGATTCAGTGGGGGATGGGGCTTGAGAATTTGTAATATTTTTTTTATCTTCACCCAAGGACATTCTTCCATTTTTTTGTTCCTATAGAGTGGGAGGGAGAAAAAGGAAGAGAGAGGAGAGAGAAACATCGACGTGAAAGGGACACATCGAGTGGCTGCCACCTGCGCAACCCAACCAGGGCCAGGGACAACGTGCCCCTAGCGGGAACTGAACCTTGGTTGTTGTTGTTTTGTTTTTTATCCTCACCTGAGGACATTTTTGCATTTTTTTTTTTGTTCAGACAGAGCGGGAGGGAGAGAGAGGAAGAGAGAGAGAGAAACATCGATGTGAAGGGACACATCGAGTGGTTGCCACCCGCATGACCAGCACGACCAACCAGGGCCGGGGACAAACTGCAACCGAGGTACGTGCCCTTAGTGGGAACCGAACCCGGGTCTCTCTATACCGCAGGCCGACGCTCTAACCGCTGAGCCAAACTGGCCAGGGCGGGAACCGAACCTTGGAATTGCTGACTTGCAACTAGGTTCCAGCATGTAATAAGAACTCTATAAGTGATACATGCTCTATGATTGTCGTCATCGTCATCATCATCACATCACTGATATTGCTATCTACCTGATGGCTTCTTACTCCCCTTCAACACACAGCTCAGAGGCTACCTCCTCTCTGTAGCTTTCCCAAATCTCCACCCACCTCAAACAGAACTGGTGGGTCCCTCGCCTGGGTTTCGCTAGCACTTTGTGTATAGAGCAGCTCATTACCTGGTAGACCCTGCTGGAGGGTCTGAAGATCGTTTGCCCCATCCCTGACCTCCGCCCCTCCCCACCCCAGTGGACCGTAAGGAGCTCTGTCAGGGCACAGCAATTTCCTATTCATTCCTGTTCCCCAACTCACAGCACAGAGCCTGGCACATAGGAGGGATACAAAACATGTTTGTTAAAATTATCCTCAATTTAACAAAAGTACTCACTTTTTCAGGTGATGTCTTCATTCTGGTCAGACATATTTCTAATGTCCTTATGACAAGAATATAGCACTCCAAATTGCAGTAATAAATCTACATTTCTGCAGACAGGATTGATTGCTACCTACTTTGCTCCAAACACTGTTTTCTATTAAATTGCAAGCTTTTACCAAAACATCACACAGTCCTTATTCAGGGTTCATCAGAAGGTGTTTTATTGCAAAAAGAGAAACACATTTTGAATTCAGAATCACACTGAATCCCAGAGTCTCTCGGTCCCTAACACATGTGAGCATGCGTCAGGGGCTTTGGTAGTAGCGTTGCTACGAGCAACGGAGTGCCTTGTCACAGCCTGGAAAAGGGACAACCTTGGTCCCTTCCTTTCTTTCTTGTAGGGAGTTGGCATTTCTACATATTCCAAGGACAACCTCATTGCTGGAAATATATCAGTTAAAGGGTGAAAAACTTCACCAGAAGTACCTCAGCATATTGTTATTTATGTGCGGTGAGCTCATCTCTTAATTGAAAAAATTCACAATTCGGCTTTTAAATAGAAAATGCCCCATTAGCTCTCACTAGAATCCGGGGTGTCCTGGCTGTGAATCCAGTACCAGGGGGAATAAGAGACAGGACCAACTAGGAGGCTGTTTGACAGATATGAAGAGAGCCAAGACCTAGGGGCAGAGGCACTGGGGATGAACTGAAAGGGACAGTTTGAAAGACATTATGCAAAAATCAGTGGGATTCTATTTTAGTCTAGATTAGAGACTAAAGAGAAAGGGGAAGAGAAGAATCAGAGGTGCCTTGAGGAACTGCTCAGATTGGTTCCATGCTGCACTCCACACACAAAGGGGTGTGATACATTTCTATATCAATGGCGAGAAAACTATACAGTCCTTGTTCCTGAAAGAACCCGAAACCCAATTTCCTGTCTCCACAGGTTAAGGATTACTTTTTTTTTTTTTTTCCCACCTCCATAGTACTTCCTTTATTTTTTTTTAATTAATTTTTTCTTACAGACGTTTCTCAAGGATTACTTTGAAACCTACTACATTTGGGAAAAGGCTTTACAGATAAAAAGTATTCACATTACTTCCATCGGCACAGGGCAGTTATCTGGGTGACCGAGAACCTACTTTTCAATCTCCTGCTCTCTGAAGGCCCACTCTTTCCTCTCCACTGCATTCATCATCCTCCTCCTCTTCTCAAACTGGGAGGTGTCGCTCAGAGGGGGGAGTGTGGCTTCCCAGGCACGCTTCTCCCGGGCACGTTCGATCATCTCTACCTCAGCTTGTCCTGCCGGGAGACCTCGACCTGGAGGATGGGGCAAGAACACTTTAGAAAAAGTGGACAAACTCATGTACCTACCAGTATTCAATTTACTCCCTTTCAGTTTCTGTCCTCTTTAAATTTAAGGTTATGTCAGGATGGAATATTAGGAATCACCCTCCAGAGGTGCCTCACAGCAGTGCCCTGTGCTGCTTCCTGTTAGTAATTCCACCAGAAGAGATTTTAGTTGCATATAAGACGCTGGAAAGTATTTGAAGAATACTTTCAGTGACTACTGAATGATCACACCCTGATATGCCCTGTATGAGACAAGTCAGTATTTTGAAATATAAAGAAATATCAAATTAATTTTCAGAAAGTCACAATTTATATTTTTCTCCGTAAATGCCTTGAACATGTTTTGATTAAGTGATTTCCTAGGTACTTTATTTGTTGCTATTAAAAATATAATTTTTTCAATAACATTTCTAAAAAGCTATTGAGCTTTGTTTGCTGATTTCATAATCAACTACCTTGTCGAGTTCAAGTTCTTAGTTCATGATTTATTTCATTTGATTTTTCAAATGAGCACACTGGCTGCTGATAAAGATCATTTTTACTTCTTTCTCATTCTCATATCTCACTTGTTTTTCATTATTTTACTGCATTGACTCAACTCAAAATTTTCTTTTTTTAAAAAAAAAATATGTTTTATGACTAATTTGAAAGCCACAAATATTCTTTTGTAAACATTTATTTTATGATTCTGACTTTCCTATTCCTTTTTTCTTTTCCAGTTTCTTTTCTTTTTTTTTTTTTTTTTTTTTTTTTGGTATATGCCCCTAGCGGGAACCAAACCGGGGACTCTGGTGTGCAGGCCGATACTCTGACCGCTGAGTCAAACCGGCCAGGGCATGTATTGACTCAACACTTTTCAACCAGGGGACTATTACTGCATATTGGACAATCATTTGTTGTATGGGACTGCCCCATGCAGGACAGGATGTTCAGTACCCATGCTAGCCTATCCCCCAAACCACATCCCATGTGTTAAATGCCAGGAGAGCTTCTCAATCATTATCACATACAAAATGCCACCCATGTTTCCGAATGTCCCTGGGGGCAAGGGATCACAGCCTAGCTCAATAAGCTCTGGGCTAGGATGTTCTCTGCAATGCTAAACAGCAGTGGTGATGAAGGGATCCTTGTCTTTTTCTTCACATTAAAGAAAAGCTTCTAAAGTTTTGCCTTTAGTATTATCTTTCTTGAAGGCTATGATAGACACCTTTTATTAAATTACTAAAATTTTCTTCTGATCCCAGTTTATTCAGAGTTTATATTATAAATGAATGTTGAATGTTATCAAACACTTTTTCTGCATCTATTGAAACCTTTTCCCCTACATTTTCTGTTAAAATGGTAAATTACTTCAGTTTTCTGATATTGTACTAAACTTGAATTTATGTGATTAACCCACTTGCTTATAAGTTATCTTTTTAAATACCGAAAGATTTGTTTGCTGGTATTTTATTTAGAATTTTTGCATTTTCTTCATATGTGAGATGGCCCTGTAATTTTCCTTTCTAGTATTATCCTTATTCAGTTTTCATATCAAGGTTATACTAGCTTCATAACATGAATAAACTAATCTTTATATTCTCCTTTCTCTTTGCTAGAGAATTTGTATAAAACAGAACTCATTTCTTCCTTAAAGGAGTGGTAAACTTATCTGTAAAACTGTTTAGGCCTGGTGCTTTTAAAAAAATTTTTTTTTCTTTACTAAGTCAATTTCTATAGTTATTCTATTCAGGTTTGCTATTTCTTCTTGAAACCAACTTGGTAATTTATATTTTCTTTAAAATTGGATAATTTACCTAATTTTAAAATATAGGGCAAAAGATATGTATAGTATTTTCTCACAATTCTTAAATAATTTACTCTGTAGTTATGTCCCTCTTCTGATCCTAATACATTTCAATTGTATCACTGTCTTCTGTTTTAATATTTCCTGCAAAAGGTTTGCTATATTATTAATGTTTACCCAAAAAGTTACTTTCTGGTCCTATTGGCTACTTCTTTTGCCTTTCTAAAGATCTATAGTATTAATTTCTGATTTAAGTTGTATTATTCACTTAACTCGTGAAGATTAAAGAAATTTAAAATATAAAGCACTTGAAACAGTTCTCAGCACATGGTGAGCACTTAATATTTTTTATTTGTGCCCACAGTGTCAACCTTTCTCACTGGGTCATTGTTCTTCACTTATTTTTATGTATAGTTTTTATTAACGTATGACATACATGCATAAAGGCACATCAATGAACATCCCACATAACCAGCATTCAGATCAAGGAACAGAATATTATTAAAACCCAAGACTGCCCATCATGCTCTCTCCCAGTCTCTTCCTGCCTCAAGGATGACCACCATCAAAATTCCTAACATATTAACTTCATTTCTATAAGTTTTGAGCTTTAGATAAATGGAATCAAAGTATAGGTACTCTTTTATGTCTTACTTCTTTTGCTCAGCATTTTACCTGTGAAATTCATCCATGTGGTTACATGGAGTCACACTTTCATTATCATTGCTATGTAGTATTCTATTGTGTGAATATATACTACACTTTATTCATCCACTCTATGGCTGATGAATACTTGTGTTGTTTTTAGTTTGGAATTATTATGAACAGTGCTGCTATAAACATTCATGCACTTGTCTTTTGGTGAACATACATATGCATTTCCGTTAGTAGAACTAAGCATTCACTTCTCTTTAGTATTCAGCTAGAAATAAAAACCCTGGATCATAGGTATGAGTATATTCAGCTTTAGAAGATACTACCAAACCATTTTCAGAAAATGGTTGTAATATATTCAAGCAGTATATAAAATTCTCTTTGCTTCAAATCCTTATCATCACTTGGTAAAGTCAACATTTTTGATATTAGCTGTCCTGATTAGTGTGTAGTAGCATGACACTGAGGTTTGAATTTGCATTTCCCTGATGACTAATTAAGTTGAACATGTTTCATATGTAAATTAATCATTTCGAAATCCATTTTATTAAATGCTGCTCATATCATTTGCTCGTTTTTTTCTGTTTTTCTTACTGATTTTTAGGATTTCCTTAAGTGTTTGTGTTATGAGTCTTCTGTCATATGTAACTATTTTGCAAATATCTTCTCCCAATCTGTGGCTTGCCTTTTCACTATCTCATATGTGTGTGTGTTGGGGCGGGGGGGGGGGGGCAGGGAGGAGTATATGTTTTTGATGAATAGTTCCTAATTTTAATGTGATAATTTTCCCCTTTATTGTTAACCATTTTTGTCTTATTTAACAAAATCTTTGCCTACAAAAATATTCTGTTTTTCTTTGAAAAGTCTTGTAGTTTCACCTTTCACACTTAACACCTGAGGGAGTGATCTTGGTTTGTGGTGTGAAGTAGGAACCATGAGTCCCTTTTTTTTTTTTTTATCCTCACCCGAGGACATTTTTCCATTTTTTGTTCAGGTAGGGTGGGAGGGAGAGAGAGGAACAGAGAGAGAGAGAGAAACATCGATGCGAAAGGAACACATCGAGTGGCTGCCACCCGCACGACCAACCAGGGCCGGGGACAAACTGCAACCGAGGTACATGCCCTTAGCGGGAACCGAACCCGGGTCTCTCAGGACCGCAGGCCGACGCTCTAACCGCTGAGCCAAACCGGCCAGGGCTGAGTCCCTTTTTTCAAGATGAACTCAGCACCATGTACTGAAAAGATTAATTTTTTTCCAATTGCACAGCAGTGTTTGTTTTGTCTCAAGTCAGATGACATTTATCTGTGAGCTAATTTCTGGACTCTAGTCTATAACAATGATATCTTTGTCTATCTTTGAGACTATATCGCCATCTTTAGTTACTGCAGCTTTATAGTAAGTCTTTATATTGGTAGTGTATATTTGTTCTATTTCTTCACATTTGCCTTGACTACTTTTGACTCTTTCACATTTCCATATTAATTTTATAATCGGGTTATCAATTTTCTCTCTCTCTCTCTCTCTCTCTCTCTCACCCACCCACACACCCACCCACCCACACACACCTGCTGGGTTTTTTACTGAGACTACATTGAAGTAGGAATCAGAATGAAAGTTCTTTTTTTTTTTACACATGAATATCTAATTGCCTCATCGCCATTTATTTGAAGAGACCTCCTCTTCCCCACGGAACTGCAGTGGCATCTTTCTCATAAATCAAATGACTGTAAATGTGGAGGGAGGAGTCTGCCAGGTCAAGGGATCCCAGAACCATTACTATTTTCCTGCAGTGCTACAGCCAAATATTTCCACACTCAGTTCTTAATACATAGTCAGATCTCCAGCAGGTCTGGCAATGGCCGACCACATGCAAACTCTTTTACATGAAGCACGTGAATCGTCTTGTTCAAATCGCCTAATCCTTAATAACTTCTGATATCTTATCTGAAAGAGGAGCATTAACATCCACATGATTAGGGACTTGTCTATTTCTTCTCATGAGTCAATCAATCTTGCTTTACATTTTGAGTCTCTGTTGGGTACATACGAGTTCATGACAGATACATCCTTTTATAACTATTACATATCCTTCATTTTCCCTTTTAATGGTTCCTGATTAACTCTGACCTAATAGTAATATATCAGCTTTCTTTGGGTTAGCTATCAGAATATTTTTTCACCTCTTTGTTTTCAAAGTTTCGGTGCTCTTTTATAAATAGCTGCTTTTGTTGGGTTTTTATCAGTCCAACTCAAGAATATTTTTTTCAGGAAGTTTGTCACTTTTATGTATTTTGATTACTAAAATATTTGAACACTTTTCTGACATCTGACTATGAATTTTCTATTTATTATGTTTTTTCTTTGCTTTCCCCTTTTTCTGCTCTGTTATCCCACACACACACGCCATTTGTGAAACAATATATTTCTTCTCTTGTTTAGAGATCACCCCTAAAGTTTTTAACTTAGAAACTTCCACTCACAGTTTTCCAATCAAATCTAAAGTTAATTCCTTTCAAAGATTCCAGTGGGTTCTTTTTCATAGCTCCCATTCGTGTTTCATTGTTGCTATTTCCCCTCTTCGAGGATTTAAAATGTTCTTCCTAAGTCTGTTTCAACTTGCTCTGTTTGCCTAATAACTTTTTCTTCCATTTTCTGTATTTATTGTGGATCACTCCTGGTGTCTATGTTCCTTACATGCTTTGTAATTCTCAGGTTGAAATCAACTGCAGATTTCTCTCATGAGCACCCTGAACAGGAGTGTTCTTTGACCTGGCAAGAGGGACAGTTCCCTAGCCTAGTTCTTCAGAGCCCTGCTCATCATCATAATGTAAGGAGTCCAGGGGACTATACTCACCTGGATCTAGTCCTACCCTTGGCCCCAAACCTGCCTCCCAAATCTACATGGGCCTCTTCGCAGGATTCAGACCCCTGAGGGTAAACAGTACAATGCTGTTTGTTTGCCTATATGCCCATGGGGTGGCCAGATGGCAGCTGTTTGCAGGGATGTGTAAACAGAGATTGAAAAAGCACATTTGAGTCATCACCTGCATACATGACAGGCCCTCGATATGGAACAGAAACAGAGAAAGGGGCAGGCCACGGGCGGTCCCACCTCTGCTGCCACGGTCCAACATGGCTTTGGGGTATCTATAGACTGTAAGTTTAAACTTGTCCTTTCAACTTGTTAATAGTTTGTGTTAATTTGTGAAAAGTACAGAGTGTACTTTACTTAATAGATATTAGCTTGATTGATAATTTTTAAACATCTACACATATAGTACGTGGGCCTCCATTTGAATCCCTACCTATGGCAAATGAGGGGGTAGGCCTGACTCATAGTGGTTTTTATTGACACTTTAACCTCAGTGCTTCCAGGAACGGGGCTCCAGATCAGATTTTTTGCCTAGTGAAACATTTCTGAGCCCCTGCCTAGATCTCTTGCTTTAGAGGATCTAGCTCTTGTCCTACTCAGCTCAGTGCTAAGCCATTGCACACCGAGAGGTAAAGCCCAAGGCCCAGGTAGGAGTGCCTAATTCAGTTCAGGCTATAATCTTAGACAGAGAGGCACTGGACTTCAGTCCCATCTATGGGCAGGAGAAAAGTTTCTGCCTCTGCTGCTCAGGCAGGTAACTCAGATCTCGCTCCCGGCTCATCAGGGTCCCAGCTACTTCTTAAGGAGACTTCTCCAGTTCTAAACTATAGAAATTTTCTTTCTTGTTTTTAAGTGTGGCTATGTGTGAATTATTGTTATTATTATTATTTAATCCTCACCCAAAGATATTTTTCCATTTATCTTCAGATAGAGTGGGAGGGAAGGAGGAACAGAGGGAGGGATGGAGGGGGAGAGAGAGAGAGCACGCGAGAGAGAAACATCGATGTGAGGGAGACACATCAACTGGTTGCCTCCCACACGACCCCGACCAGGAACGCAATAACTGGCATGGTTATCAGGACTGTCATCTTCAAATATGCCAAGATAATTACCAACTCACCCCAAGTCAGAGTAGCCAGGGTCAAGAGCTCAGGAACTGAATCCTGACATACCACATATTCTGGAGAATACGGATCTGTTTGAACTTCGGAATCGCGATAATCGGTCTGAGTGCCCACAGTGTACTTTGAAGAGATGGGTGCGTGCTTAGTTGACACAGGAGGAAAAGTATATGGCTCTATCCTAAAAGGGAAAATTATTTAAGTTAACTGATACAATCACTTAGAATACTATATAATCAAGTAGAAATAAATCCTTGAACTTCACTAAATTCTTTCCGCCTTTAATACTGTCAGGCCCAAAATTACGAATCCAGTTTAACCAGAATTATGCCCAATAATCTTGAGAGAATTGCCTTGTTTTTCTCACCTCTGCCAAGAAACTAAAGGGGCAGAAAAACCTAGATCTACATCACCAAAGTGCATATTGATCTGTATATCACTGAACAGGGCTGTTGTATACAAAGCTAAAAAAGGTAGAATAGAATGTCATACGATTACTTCTGAACGTACTCAAAATTGCTACTTCCCTGGTTCCATCTTCTCTGCTTTTAGTTACACACCTAATTTTAGCTGTTTTCCTTCAGAAGTACAAATATAGAAGCAGAAAAAAAGAGAATGAAACCTCATTGCTTGCACAAAAATTAATTCCAGATAATTTAAAGTATTTAAGTTAAAAATTAGACTAATAAAGTTCTAATGGAAAGCATATGTAAATATATCATCTCAAAAGCCAGAGACTACCAAAGAAAATGAGCAATACATTTAAATTTAAGTTGAGCCCAGCCAGTGTGGCTCAGTGGTTAAGTGTCATGCACCAAGAGGTCACCAGTTTGATTCCTAGTCAGGGCCCAGGCCCAGGTTGTGGGCCCAGTCCCCAGTTGGGGAGCATGCAGGAGGCAGCCAATTGATGTTCTCTCTCATTGATGTTTCTCTCTCTCTCTGTCTCTCTCTCTCCCTCTCCCTTTCTCTCTCTCTAAAATCAATACATTTTTAATTTTTTAAATTTAAGTTAAAACTTCTATATCTCAAAACATCATAAACAAATTTAAATGTAAATGGCACACTTGGAAACAGGTTTTGCAGTATATGATAAAAAGATTAGGCAGCCTTTCTATATAAAAAGCTTTTGGAAATCAGTAGGACAAATACAGAAAAATGGATAAATTCACAAAACAAAAAGTAAAGCTTCTAAAAGTATATGAAAAGATGATTAAAATAACTAGTAATCAAAGTAATTAATACAGCAAAATGTTGTTTTATTATATCATGTAAGCAAAGATTTAAAAAATTAAAAGTACCTAGCATTGATGAATAGTAGTTAAAAAAAACAGGCATTCTCATAAACTGTTGCTGGAAATACAAATAGCTGCAACCCAACTAGCAGGAAACTGATTAATATATATCAAACCCTTAAAATACCCTTTTGCCCCAGCAATTGTACTCCTAGGAATTTATGCAAGGAAATAATTGCACAAGTGTACAAAGATATATGCAAACATGTTCATAAAGTTTCATTTATAAGAGTAAAAAATTACAAACTTAAATAATCACCATCAATAGAAGAATAGTTTAAAATAATATGCATACCCGTAATAGAATTTATACTACTATTAAAAGTAACAATGGCCCTGGTGGTATGACTCAGTGGTTAGAATCTTCGGCCCACGCACCAAAGGGTTTTGGGCTTGATTTCCAGTAAAGGGCGCATATCTGGGTTGCAGGTTTGATCCCCAGACCCAGTTGGGGAGCATTCGGGAGGCAACTAATCAAGATGTCTCTCTTATATTGATGTTTTTCTCTCCCTCCCTCCTTTCTACTCTTAAACAAACAAAAAAATCAATGAAAAAAAATATCCTTGGTTAAGGATTAACAACAACAAAAAAGTAACAATGTAATCTAATATTTATGAACATACAAAAATGTCTAAGATTTAATGTAAAGTAGAAAAAGGAGACATTGTGAAGCAGTCTTATAATAGTAGTACATATTTATGTTTTTAAAAACTATGACTTGTGCATAGAAAATGCCTCGATGGTATACCATAAAATAATAAAAGCAATTATTTCTGGATAGTAGAATTACAGTGAAAATATTCTCATGTTTAGTTTTCTGAATTTTTAAACTTTTAAAAAATATATATATTTATTAATTTTTTAAAGAGAGAAACATCGATCCTGCACACTCCCCACCAGGGATCAAACCTGCAACCCTGGCGTGTGCCCTGACTGGGAATTGAACCAGGACCTCTCAGTCCATGGGGCAATGTTCAGTCCACTGAGCCACACCAACCAGGCTGAATTTTAAAACTTTTTTAAAAAACCTAGACATGCACTAGTTTTAAAATAAAAAGAAAATATATATATATATATATTTAGAGAGAGAGAGAGAGAGAGAGAGATACCATTTATTTATTTATTTATTTATTTTTAATACTCACCTGAGGATATTTTTCCATTTATCTTCAGATAGAATGGGAGGGAGGAAGAGAGGGAGGGAGGAAGAGAAAGAGAGAGAGAGAGAAACCTCAACGGGAGAGAGAGATACGTTGACTGGTTGCCTCCTGCATAACCCTGACCAGGGCCAGGATCCAACCACAACTGAGGTACGTGCCCTTGGCCAGAATCAAACCCACAACTCTTTGGTCCCTGGGCTGACGCTCAAACCACTGAGCCAAACCAGCCAGGGCTATAGCCACCATTTAAAAGAAACCTTTTTTTCTAGTTGGTAGAAGAATTTGTTAAATTACATAAACAAATATCTAAGCATAGTAAAATAAGAGAGATTTCCATTTTGAAAAACAGTCAAAGGCAAATATATGAGAAGAGCACATACAGTTCAACTCTAAGAAAAATGCACCTCCAGCCAGAAAAAAGCATCTGTTTGGAGGTTCAACCTGTAATAGATCAGTACTTTAAATTCTTTTTAATGCTGAATTCCAATGGGTATTGAAATCAATTTTTTCAGCAGTTGTTATGAATTTCTAACATATAGACAACAGTATGTATAGTTTCTTATGTATTCTACTATAATTTCTACTTGAGGAAATAACTTAAAATCAGCTTTGTATCATTCTAAAACATGAATATTATTATAATACCATTAGCTGAATCAAGAAACTAAATTCTTATCTACCAGATTAAATAATTACACATTTGAACCATCTGGCCAACTGCGCTAAGATTAGGATAAAGCCTAATGAATCTTTCTGACGAAGGTTTCTGATGACTTAGGATCCTTCCAGTGGGTGGGAGGAGAAGCAGCAAAGAAGGAATGTTAATTCCACAGAAGCCTATGGTAACTTAATATAGTTTCTTTCCTAGCTTATTTTTTTCCAACCTATTTCTTTTTTCCATTTCAGTTGATTTAGGTAGAATAAAATGTGAATAAGAAAGAGCAATGAATGATCTCTGTCCCACCTATCCCAACCTCAACCAGGACTCCAAACCAGAGAGAACCACCTGCTCCCTCCTTAGCTTGAGTGAGCCCTGCTTTGTCCTGGATCCCATCCTCAGGCACACTCACTCTGGCCACGGCTGCTCTACTCCCTCAGTCCGGGCCCTTTCTCCCCAAGCACCAGGAGCCTGCATTGTCAGCCACACCCAGTCTTCCAGCCCAACAAAACTACACACAAAGAGGGACTTCACAAGTCCTGTTCTGTTGGCATGCACTCCACTGAATGTTTATATTTTTTTACAACTTAATTTTTTAGAGCTGTTTTAAGTTCACAGCAAAATTGAGAGGAAGGTGCAGAGACTTCCCATATACAGTACAACCTGCCCCTACATATGCACAGCCTGTCCCATTATCAACATCACTCACCAGAGCGGTACATTTGTTACAAGTGATGAACCTACACTGACACATCATAATCACCCCGTCCGTAGTTTACATTAGGGTTCACTCTTGCTGTTGTGCATACTACGGGTTTGGACAAATTCTTAAATATATATGTATACATGAGTAATAACATGTGCCCCCCATTATAACATCATACAAAGTATTTTCCCTACCCTAAAAACCCTCTGCGCTCTTCCTATTAATCCCTCTCCCAACCCCAACTCCTGGCAAACAATGATTGTTTTTTTGTTTTGTTTTTCAATCCTCACCCGAGGACAATATTCCATTTTTTGTTCAGATAGAGTGGAAGGGAGGGAGAGGAAGAGAGAGAGAGAGAGAGAGAGAAACATCGACGTGAAAGGGACACATAGAGTGGCTGCCACCCACACGACCAACTAGGGCTGTAAACAAACTGCAACCGAGATACATGCCCTTAGCAGGGACCAAACCCGGGTCTCTCTGGACCGCAGGCCGACGCTCTAACCGCTGAGCCAAACTGGCCACCAAACCGGCCAGGGCAAACAATGATTGTTTTTATTAATCTCCATAGTTGTGCCTTTTCCAGACAGTCATAGTTCGAATCATAGCCTTTTCAGATTGTTTTCTTTCTTTTAGTAATGTATATTTAAATTTGTATTTAAATTTCCTCCATGTCTTTTCATGGCTTGACAGCTCATTTATTTTTAGTGCTGAATGATATTTCATTGTCTGGATGTTACCTCAATTTATCCATTCACCTGCTGAAAAACATCTTGGTTGTTCCCAAGTTTTTGGTGATTATGAATAAAGCTGTTGTAAACAACTGGATGCAGGATTTTTTTGTGGACATAAGTTTTCAACTCCTTTGGGTAAATACCAAGAAACACAATTGCTGGATCCTACGGTAAAGTATGTTTACTTTTGTAAGAAACTGCCACACTATCTCCGAAGTGACTATAGCAATTTGTATTCCCATCAGCAATGAATGAGAGTTCCTGTTGCTCCACATTTGGTATAGCCAGTGTTCGAGATTGTGTACATTGTAATGGGAGTGTAATGGTATCTCATTGTTTGAATTTGCATTTCCCTGACATATGATGTAGAGCATCTTTTCAGGTGCTTATTTGATAACTGTTAATCTTCTTTGGTGAGGTGTCTATTGAGATCTTTGGCCCTTTTTATTTGTTTATTTTTTCTCTCTTTAAAAAATTCTTCTTTATTGATTTCAGAGAGAGAAGAAGGGAGAGGGAGAGAGATAGAGATAGAGACATCGATGAGAGAGAACACTGATTGGCTGCCTCCTGCATGCCCCCCACTGGGGATCAGGCCCACAAATTGGGCACGTGCCCTGACAGGGAATCAAAC